TTCCGGGCCGTGCGTGCAGCCACGCTCGGCATTTCGCATTCGCATACCGTCGCCTGTAAACTCGTACATGCTCGATCCGTGGCTACCCTCCCTCGTTTTTTCCATTCGAACGCAAATTGCCACCTGTTTGGTTGCACAGAACCGCCTCGATTCTTGATCGACCTCCATCTTGTCTATCTTGCTTAGACGCTGTGAAATCAAACGAGAAGCGTAAATTTCTCGTGGTGAAAATCCACGGCAAGTCGTGACAAGTCGAAAACTGCTGAATGTAGGAACCTTCCTAGGCGATTTTATACGGTTGGTGGTCCCTTCGCGAAAGGGCAAAGACCGAGCGGTTATTAGCGGAATGGTTATTACCCACTCCGTCTATTACGATCCGTGCTGAAGTGTCGCGGTGATCCTCGAGGCCGTGAGAGATCGTTCCATCCCGTCGACCATTCCTTCGATCTTGGCCAGAACAGGAGGGAAACGCTCGCTTGCAACTGCAAACTATCAATCCATACGCGGCTCGAGCCGTGATCCCAGTGATTACCGCTCGATGACGACATTGCGGTATCGAATGAACCGAGACTAAATTGGTGAACGAGTGTATAGCAACTTCTTTTACGCGGCATTCTCTTCCTCTGCTTCGTAGCTCTCTGTAAAGTTACTAATTTCCAAGTTATAAGATTTTCAAACAGCCTCTATATTCTCTATTTACCGTTGTCACAGCCGCGTACGATACTTAAGTTAAAGCTGCATAGGTGGACCAGACCGGTGCCATTCCGAGATAATCCTCTCGCTGGTGGTCCAACTGAACACGGAAACGGTTCTCTACGCTCCAAGCACCGACGCGACGCGACGCGACGCGACGCGACCATTCGCTGGAAGGACGTTGTAGATCCAGTCGTAACACCTGGTAATAGCTTCAACCCTCTGCCTTAAGATTTTTCATTTTTACTTTCCCATAGAAATAACGTAGAAAATGCTGTTAAAGAAATCCAGAATTACGATAGATACATCGCGTTTGCCAATTTCTTGATCGCGTATGAAACATGGCAAGAACAAGCGGTTCGGCAAATGAATCTCGACCACGCACTTAGCCGAGGACAGAACAAGCTGAAACAAGCTCGCTCCACCCCCGCGCTCTTCCAAGATTTATATTCCATTAGACTAGACCGTTCCCTTTTCTACGTTTCTCCTCGCTGCTTCTCCTCCTCTATCGCTCTCTAACACTTTATTTATCCACTCTCCTCGTTCACCGTCCCGCTATACCTCATTACCTGTTAATTACCCGAGTAAGTTTCCCTGCCTGACAGCGGCGAGATGCTGCGCGACTAAGTTGTTGTAATTGCTAGATATTGCAAATAATAAGCTTCTATTATTTGTAATAATAGAGTGAACAAGTTAAATATGATACAGATGGTATCTAGATGAAATGCCACGGCGTAAACCCTTAATTTTTCTTTCTATTTCTTCTTCATTCGTACATCCACGAAACTCTATACATATTTCGAGCTGTGCAGATCTTCTTGACTGCAGTTCGAAGCGTAATTCGCGGTTTCCTCTATCATTAAAGTAGCTAGATTCGTTCGAAACCCTGGCTTCGTATTCTTCCGTTTCTCGGAACGCTTATTGCTCCATGGAAACGATTCTTGGAAGTGTAAGGGAAGGTGCGATCGAGTAGTCAGACATCCATCAGCAATTACGGTCTAAAAGAATCGAGCAACAATGAAAGCTGCTTTGTTACAATTTTGAATTTTCCAATTTCCTTTCGCTCGTTCAAGCATACTCCGGATAAATGAGATTCTACGATAATAATAGAACGCGAGAAGAAAGAGATCAGCAGGACGACTAAAAAAATTTAATTATCAGCTTGTCTGTGTACTTTGCTTAATTCCCATTAACGAGATTCTACTCATTATCTTGGCTCCTCCATATCGCGGCCCATTTTCTAACCCTTTTTCTAATTATTCGAAAATCTCTTCAAAATTATCTCCTTCCCATTATATTACTCGCACCAAGTAATTGGAGGAAATACTTATTAATCTTTTTTCGAACGTAATATACAGAAAATGTAGATTACCCCATTATACCATAAACCCACCTCTTTCTATACCAAATTTTTCATTAGTTTCCTATAAATCTAAAAATGTCGGTGTTAACGAAAGGATCGTGGCGAGGAGAGCGATATCGTCCGTTCGAAGTCAGCCAGACTGCTTTGAAATATAACGTCCGGGTAATGAATCGCAACATTCAATTACGCATTAATAACAGGGCGGCAGAGACGTGGCTGGGGCCGATTATCTCGCGGCGGACAATGTGCGAAAGCCAGCGGCTTGTTTTATAACAAACAAACTGACGGTTATGGCCGGTACCACCGACAGATACCATAAATACAACCCCGTTCGAGCAGCAACCTTCCTTCCCCCCCTCCATATCACGTGTTTCCGCATGCAGCCGCGAGGATTTCCTTTAATCGATCGGCCATCGACTTTGCGCGTCTGACAATCTTATCAATGGAGCATCGGCGTCGCCCGTTTGTCCGTGTCGCTTCTATGATCCACGTTATCTGTTGGTCACCCACGCGTTACCTTCGCTCGTTTCGTCCGCGAAGGCAAAGCCAGCCTCGTGAAATATTCGCCGGTTCCGCGTCGCTGGCTCAAATAATTAAACGATTCTGACCGACGTCTAACGGCTGAGACAGCGCGGAACCGTACGACTGTAGGCGTGAACCACTGAAATAGGATGAAATAATGCTCGCGGCTAGATACCTTCGGAACAACTAACCCCCCTCTTGGATCATCGAAACTTTTTATCAATTTCTTCTGAAGAAAATTCAATTCGATGTCAACGACCAAATGACACGCAAACATACGAATGCATAAACGAGTCTAGGAAGAGGGTCGTGAAGCGTGGGTGATCCGCATTTAACTGGGTAGCATGGCGATCGTAATATTAGCACGTAGCCATTTCCACGCGGACTTATCGAGCCCCCATACATGCGAGTAGCTCGTAAACTCGCGGATATTCTCGTCGTCGTAGCCTGGCACAGAGAATATTCTTTTAATTACAAGCCGACCGATAGAGAAACGAGGCGACAGCTCACGCGCGACCTTTCCAACGCGACGTCGCTTAGGCTCGTAAAGAAAAAGAGAGCCGGCGCGGCGCGGCGCGGCGATGGGAACCAGACTCGACTCCGACTCGCGAGAACCTGTCTACTATACCTAGAAGATCGTAGCTTTTAGATACCTAGTGGTACTTACGCGTTTCCCTCTTGACAATACCGAAAGATTATCTTACACATCGGATTAACTTTACTCGAATGATTGTAAGCTGATTTTTCAACGAATCAAGGTTCCTACGCAAACGTTCTTTATCCGAGGATTCAGAGTATTCAGAAACCCACCTGTTTCTAACGAAACTGATTCATTGCTTTCTTAACTGTTTTAACTTCTTTGTTCCGTCGTCGTACCGAATAACAGGAAATTAATTCTTGTTACCAACGGAATAAGAATAATAAAGAGCTGCTGGTTCCAATTACTGCGCGAGCAACGAAAGAAACAGCGAGACGTCAATTCGTCTCGGGCAAGTAATTAAGTGTTAAATCATTGCTTAATTGAATTCACAGGCTCTGATGCGTAGGCTGATCTCGCTTCCGTATCAATTAGGACATCCTAGTACGTTCGTGTATCCGTTGATTAAACGATCCAAAGTTTCTTTTTTATTTATTAATAAATGCATTTTCTTTTATAGAAAATTTCAGGTGATCGAAATTTGATCAAAGGGCTTTTGAATCTGCCCCTGGTTTAAATTCGAACGCAAAGAATCTATATTCCTGTGAAAAGCTCGCCTGTCTAGAATTATTATTACGTTTCGTTATTTAGATTTTCAAGCAGACTTTTCCTCCGCAAATGACCAGAGTATGTAATTGCGAGAGGACTTAATGAAACTCACTGGAGCCTCGCGTAAGATTTGCGAACGACGGTCCGTAATAAATAATTACCGAAGCAAGACGCCCACCGTGTGGAAAGGTGGGGTAGTGTGGATGAGCGGCGAGGAAAGGAGGGGTCAAAATAATCACAGTGCGCTGCGCGTAATGATTCACGGTAAATTCTTTGACCTAGCTTATTACTTTAATTAGAAACGCCAGAATAAGAGAGAAAGAGAGACGCGTGACAAGCACGGAATAAAACTTTAATCACGTTTATTATTAACGTTAATAAATTGGATCGTGTTAGGTTGGCGGACGTAATCCTTAGGTCTTCTGTTTCCGGCGTACAGTAACTCGAAGAACGGTACCACGTTTTTATAATCTTCCAGTTTAATTTCTCTTTTATATTAACCCCAAGGCAAAATGGAAATTTATTCATAATAGAATAAATGTTGCATTTCGTTAGCCCGTTGTGACGTCGAAATAACGATTCAAAAATTTATCTTATAATTTTCTGCCACTTTTTGCAAATATAGAAAATTTTGATCGTAGCGTGTTAGTATTCGATAGAAGAAGGTGGGTAATAAAGTCGCGTCTCGTTATACGATGATACGGCTACCTGACGGGCCGGGCCGGGCCGGGCAGGGCGCCGTGCAATTACCAAGTTGCATAATTGCACCATAGTAACAAAGTAAAAGAAAAAAGAGTAAATCAACGTGTGCGCGCGCGAGTGATGCCCGAGTAATATTACTTTATTAACGAAATGGGATAATGCCACGGTGTGTGACAAATTGGGAGCAACGCACGCTCGTGTACCAGGCGACGCGACGGCCGGAAAAGCGATGAATATTCATGAAGAGGAGTATCGGTGGGACCGCTAGAAGCGTACACGCGCGTAACCAAGACGTGTCGTTCACACGTCCTGCGATAACTCGGATAACTCGGATAACTCGGAATATCCTCGAGATTAGGATGTGATCAGAAAATCGCAAAATAAGGAAATAGACGGCACTGGATAGTGAGAACGATTTAATAAAGCCAGTAACGAAGGAATATGATTAATTCGCGCGTTTTTATGGTGTTGCAGGAAGATAGAAACGGCCTCGACGAATCGACGACAGCCAGGGGAAGAGGGGATCGTCGACGATGCCAAGGTGAGTTCTTGATCGTCGATCTCGATCGACTTTATCTTGTATCGCGTCGCTCCGCTTCTCTACTCTTGCTTATTGAGACTAAACCCCTTAGCATGATTATACGTTTCGCCTTCTTTTCTTGTCTTGTCTTGTCTTGTCTTGTCTTGTCTTCTTAACGTGTTCAACGGACTTAAAAATATTTCGATAACAAGAAACTGTCGGCAATAATGTAACGAGTTGCCAGGTTAATTACACCTTTTTATGCCTTGCTACTACCCTTTTGCATTTTTCCCCCCTTTCTCGTGAGATCTTTGCTTTGTGCCTCGTTCTATTACCGTTTAACCTTCTTCAGGGACGAGTTTATTCGAATTATTAAGGAAATTATTTTCACACGTTCATTGGTTCGGTAAAAATAGCAACAATTACCGCATTACACTTTGATGGTGTAACGAACACGGATCGATTTTCCTGAAAACTAGCATTAAATCCTCCAACGCCTTGTAATTCCTACGGTTAATGAAATTAACTGAAACACAACTTGGTATTTTTCAAACACGTTCGATTTGATGATCGTACAAGCAGCCAGGGGACTTTATTGCGTAAAGTCCTTTCTGAACGTCTTTGATATTTACGGAGTGAAACGGGGAATCTCGTCGGCCCGGTAATTAGAGTTTTTTCTCCGGACGTCAAAGATCGGTTGCTCGATGCCGATAGTCAGCGATGCCGAGAAATCGCGTGGTCGTGTCACGAACCGGTGTGTCGAATCGAGAAAAAAGTCTGCAACAACATCGAGTGCGTGTCGTGCGATTCCGAGGACACCGATTTCACAGCAGATACATTAATGCGGGCCCCGCTCGTGTACTTTATAAGCCGTCGAATAAATTTCCACGTGGACACGCCTCTCTAGCTCTTCGATAATAATTTACTCGACGCGCTCTAAGAGCACATGGGAAAATTGTCATCGTTCAATGTTTTTATTACTACCCGCTAACGTATCCGTTAGCCATTGAATTGGTGCACGAAAAGTGTCGAGGGATATCCGAAAGAAAGAAAGTTTAAGAAATCTCGAGCATTTTCGAAAGCAAGTTGGACGAAAGGGAATAAGGTTCGAGTGGCGATCGATCGAATACAGCGTGCTGCGAGTCTTCTTCCAGTAAAAGATGCTCCTTTGCCCCGAAGGGCATTTAATCTTATCGTAGCAGGGCTTTTGTCGGCCCGTTGATGCTTTTCTCGAAGCTTTCTTATCGGTTCGAACGGGGTGCACGACTCTCGGCTCGCTTCCGCTTAGCTGGTATCGTCTGGTATCGGCTCGTTTCCACTTTTGTCGTAGCCCGACAGTGCAAACCCGGTAGAAAATGCATGCACTCACGCTTTTACATGAACGATACGCGATATCCAAGCACAATATTCCCCCCGATATCACCCGGTCGGTCGCGTCGCTATTAACGACGCGATCGCTCGACCTGCACTCCGTTCCTTCTGATTACACACCACCGCGTCCTGTTTCCTGGTAATTCCATTGAAATGAATTTACCTCGACGCGACAGAAATTGGTCCATAGTGTGGTCGGAAGTTGAGCAGAGTGGACGCAATTCCGGTCGTGCACTCGATCCCCTGGTGCATCGAGCACAGTCACAGTCACAGAGAGCTGCATTACGTATGGCGATTGCGTCAGGGTGATATCGTCATCGGACAGGGCGAACACGACTTTAGCCTTCTCGGCGTAGGACACGAGAGAGGAGAGGTGCGTGTCCCGACACGGCTTGCCCATTAGGTGGACCCGCCGCGCCATCAGATTAGATTCCGTTTCGTTCTCCGTTCGTCCGCCACAATGCGGCTGAACCGCGATGCATCGCCGCGCCGCGCCGCAACGACGACGTTCCGGCTAACACGCTTCCTGGATTCGTCGTGAATCGCAGCACGACTTGTACACCTTGCTATTCGGTTCATAATTCTGTTACTTTTTAAACAAATCTTTCAGTACCTAGATACACCTGGAAGAAGTAAATGTAAATGTAAATGGCAAGATTGTTCGCGCGATTGCAATTCTGTTGAAAGACAAATGTAAAGCAAATGCGAGCGGTAACGTTGTCATTGTTGTTTCCGAACACTTTCCACACCTTAACGGAATTCTCTCGTTGGTTGCTACACGACGTCGTCGGCGAGATGCGCCATTTGTCCTGGCCATAGCCGGCTCCGGGGAATCTACACTCGTTAGGCGAATAAATTCAATTGGAAAGCCGGCCTTTTTGCCGATAGCAGAACGCGCAATGCGTCTTGGCGACACACTGCACGCCAAGCCGTGTCGTGGCCGACGCCGACGCCGACATCGACTACGTACTTACATGGCACCGATGCTGACGAGAGAAGAAAAAAAAGATTGTCTCATGCCGTAACGGTTAGACGGTAAATGAAATTTTCGCGTTAATTTTCAAATCGAAACTTTTCAACCTTTAACAGATGGAATTCAGATGGATCTGAAATGGGGAAATGGGGTTTCGCTGGTTTATGGGAAAGAGGTAATTCGAGGCGAGTAGAGAGAAGATCCAGGTAAGAAAATAAATCGCAATGATCTCCGTAGCCTTGTACATAATTGGCTCCGTGAGAGAGCGCATCCACGCGGCGATGATTGTCGCCAACCAACCGCTCGATATACATCACCCGAAAGACACGGATGCGCAAGGGGATGTTACCTCGAACGCGAAAGAAAAGGAGAAGGAGGAGGAGGAGGAGAGTTGAAAACGTGCGCGAAGGGAAGCGAAGATAGCGCTGACAAGCGGCCACCAGGAGCCCTCGCGTGCACCCAAGTTTCTCTTCTTCCCCTTTCCACTATGTTTCCATCTTTAGAAGGAAACGATACCTTCTTTCCTGACACATACGCGAATCTCAGTCTATACCTTTCCTCTCTGACATGAGATGCAACACTAATTTTTATTTAGCTGCAAATCATCAGGATGTTACATTAGGTGTAATAACAGTTAGAAAATATTGCTAATTAATTCATAGCAAGTATTAAAGGAGAAACGAGCGTGAAGGAAGCAACGACTTTATCGAGTTTGCAATCCTGACGCAAACGCCTCGTGAAATTCCAAGTCCTGGACAAAGTTGCAATAAAATCACGGTCTGATTAGAAGGAAGAACATATAGAGTGTCAGTAACAGCGTTGGTCTCTCGTTCCCATTTACGGGAAAAACATTTCTCTCATCGCGTGACCCGTCTGTTCTGGTCGCCTGCAATGCTCGTTGCACATTCACGTGTTGTTGCGTACGCGTACGCGTACGCGTACGCTTCTTTTTACACCGCTTGCCCTGCCTGAAATTTCATATCATGACAACGATGTTGTCATTCCGACAGGATTATATAAAAATAGGTAATAGAGAAATATTAACGAAGCCTGATTTCACGACACTCGAACGGAGAAACTCAAACTGATTCCCGCTCGAACGTGGAAACAGGCGTTCGCGAGGTAAATTGTCCGTGGAGCGATTAAATGAATAATTCATTTGTAAATTTCATCAGTTACACCAGCTTCGTCGTGGTCTTTCACGGAACGAGCTACCAGCGAAGCAGATGGAAAGCCTCGCGTTATTTCACGTCGTTTCGCCATCGCGAATCATTTATGCACCAACGTTCAAAAACGGCACACGCGGCTTTTTCCGCGATGCAAGAAATTTTCTCTAAGAGAAGTCTGTTCCATATCAAATAACCAATTACCCCGTGCCATTTAATTAATTTTTTTCTAATTGTCCCGAGAGTTGAGTTAACCACCCTGTGTAGTTACTCGAGTTCGTAGGGGATTAGGTATCCCGTCTAGAGTTAGAATCGCGTCTGTCTAACTGTCTCTGCTTCGTGTGCTTACTCGCTGCTTACTGCCAGCGTACCAACTACGTCTGGCTTCGAGGTATTTGATATTGACTTGCCTAGCCACTACTTTGAACTGGCGGACCAACGCAACGGATAGAGAAACAGAGAGCGAGAACGAGAACGAGAACGAGAAAGAGAGGCACCTGACCCACCCATCTCCGCCTTCTGACCGTCGCGTTTAATTAAAAAGCTTTCTGCACCCCCGAGCCGAGTTCTTGTATCCTTGTAGCCCGATATAGTCGACACATCGCTGATACCGGAAGCTAGTCCGTGTTAAGTACACACCGGTGGACCACTCACAAAGGAAATGGAATCCTTTACTTTTCTCGATGAAATTAACTCGAATACTCGACGGTACGTACGTTACGCTTGATTATTTTCAAGCTGGTCCACGCTGGAAATTTCGACGTTCTTTCTTGACTTTGCCGACCAATTCTCTCGTTGCGGCAGCTCGAAAAAGCTATATTTCATTGGACAACTCGCACCAGTTCCGGGACGGCATTTCTCCATTTGCGTTCAGATGATTTTCCACGACTAAGTCGCGATTCGCGTGAGCCGAGGTTCGCAGGTGTATTCGTGAATCACCTGACGCGCGATCAAGGGACACACGGTGGCTCTCTCACGGGCAGAGACGTTGATCGTGTCCCGTACAAAAAGCAATTTCCGCGGTGCCGTTAAGGAAAGAAACTGCTGCATCCGTCCCAGAAGGATGATGGATACGCGCACGTGTGATCTCTACCTATCATCCCGACGATTACGTCGACCACGTCGATTTTAACTTTGTTCAAATTCGAGTAAAGAAATCGAAAGAAGCGTCTGTGAGCAGAACACGAACGCGTCCACGGTCCGTTTTAAGAGAGCCAAGCCAGCAAATATTCGAGCGTGTAGATATGTATCCTACCGTGCTTTATGTCCAGCTACCGGTGTGTATGAGTTCGAGAGAGCGTTGTTATATTCAAATTCACTCGCTTGGCTAGTCCATGATTGTGCGTCAGCGAATATTCCAATATCCCTCGTGCTGGGACCATATTGCAATTCTATTACCGCGGAATTCCACGACCGGCATAAGTAGCGGCCTGAGAATTCTCTCAGCTTAGCCGATTCCCCTCTTCTTACTACTGGATCGCTCGACAAATTGTTTAGGATTATTGCGATAT